TATGCAATTAAATGCACTAACAATATATGTTTGTTGACTATTTCACTGATTTGTACAATTTTTTTGCATTATTAGTAGCAATTAAAACAAGAATTAATTCAAAGTCTATTAAGCATTTCAAGATGGCTCCAAAGGTACTACAAAAGTCCATCATGCCCAGACTACTGCCTCTTCCGGTAATTTTTCCTACAAAATGTAAATATATAGTAAGTTAAAAACATCTCATAATACTTTACAATACATCTGACTCTTTATCAAGGAAATGAAGGATTTCAAATTACCCCCCCCCTTTTTTTTTGGATATTTTGAATCTATTTTCACATTTTGTCTGATAATCTGACTATTGTAAGTATATATATACATGTGTTTGTATGAAAACAGATGAAATGTATATAAAGAACACAAGATATGGATTGATATAAAGTTACGATATATGGAGAAATTAAAGAACTTTAAAAAGGAAATAAATCATCAAATACACTTTCAAATAAAATATTTATTTTTGCCAACTTGCCATCATAGGAAGAATAATTCTTAAATAACAGAATTTTTAAATAATTCTTATACACATAATAGATTTTTCTATAGATATCATATCATAATCAGCATGCCATAATCTGATTTAAACATACCTTCAGAATAATGTTTCTAGTTATGTTTTCTTCTGCCATTCTGATCAGAAGGGACATGGTGTGTTATTTCCACAAATTCACCAATCTTAATGATCCTTCTTTCCCTTTCCGTCCATTGGGGCACAATCATACCATTACCATCATCTTGCAGAATAAGATTTCTTGCACATCTGTCTGTCCAACTTTAACAGTTATGACTGTGTCATACCTTAAACATTATGAAAGAAGAAGTGTCCTTGATTTGCATAAATACTTTCAAATACATGTGCTTGTAAATTATTATTTTAGGAAGAACATTTGTTACATATATATAATATCAACCGTATGTGTCATAATTCTTACACTCATACTTATAATAGATTTTTCTTTATAAAATATCATGAATTAGTTAAAGTATACTCACCTTCATATGTTGTGGTGGGTTTTGTTTCCTTCTGTCATTCAGAAGCGGCAGAAGGTGAAGTTTCCACATATTCACCAATCTTAATGGCCTCCCTTTTCCTCCTTGGGGATAAAGGTAAGGCTGTTGTTGATCCCTCTTGTGGGATAAGGTCATCTAGTTTCTTTGCATTCATCTTAAAGTATAAACAGATCATGTGTTTATAAAATTTCAAGCATATTTCAAAAATAAAATTTATTTACATATCTACATATTTACATAGTGCCAGGCTTATTAATCAACATACTGAATTGCTGTCCCCTTAGTGCATTGCAATTGATGAAAAATTTGTAAAACCACATTCAAAAGATTTCATCATGCAAAATGCTTTTGTAATCAAAATGGCAAGTAAACAATGATAGGTTTATGATCAGAGTAGTACGATTCAAGAATTGCGCAGGAAATATCTGAATCTGACATACAACTGGTGTAAACATGATCCAAACATGAGCCATAATCAGTCGTACTACTGTGCATTATCTGGCGTATTTTCAATTTTTGTAACAAAGACGAAAAGACTTTTTGATGAAAGAAATCAATATTTGTGTCACCTAAGATGATAACAGGCTCTGAACCTGCATCAAAATCCTGAAGTATAGTTTGAAGATACTTGGTAAAAGAACCAATTGATGACTGTTTAGGAGGACTGTATAAAAAAAAAATATGAAATACATGACCCCTATGTAGAAAACTTGCAATAACTGTGGCAATTCCATGAATGACACGGTAGTCCAAATCAATGAATGTTAATTTGGAATAAATGACCATGCCACTATATGACCTCTCACAAAAATTGTCTGAACCATCAAATCTAAACATTTGAAATCCTGGGAGATCATAATCATCATCTCTGTCTGATGTCTTTAACCTACTCTCTGAAATTGCAATAATATCAGCAGATTTGATGTTTTCCTCATTTTTCAAATCTATGAAGTGCTTGTGAAGAGACCTTGTATTGTGATAAATAATTTTCACATCAGAATTGATCTGTGACAAATTTGGTAAACACAAGGACAATGAAGCTTGTCTTCGAAGCCTAACCATTTCTTCAACAACTTTTGGAGAGACTGATATCTTGCCTTCATTCAGTTTCAAGATATGTAAATCATTTAAACAGCGCACCCGGCTCATGCCCACATAATGCATATGCTCCTGTTTCCTTTTTCCCAAATCTAACACAACATTTTTCATAGTTGAACCTTGGGCTTTGTGTATTGTCTTTGCACATGAAAGTCGTAATGGGAATTGTCGCCTTGTTACATTACAGGCTTTGTACCTTCCAACTGAAAATTTTCTTGAAACTTCAAATATTGGAGTCCATGTTTTTGGGATAGATGCTGTGTAATAATGAGAGTATTTTGATCTGTGTGCAGCACCAACACTCTCATTTTCAAACATAACCCATATTATACTGCACCTTGTAGAATCTGACACTCTGAAATCAAACTTCTTCACTAAACATGGTGACCCATTAGTTAGACCATCAACTACATCTATATTCAAACAAATCTCAGCTGGTAATTCAAGAACAAGATAGAGATCTTTCAATAGACCCATTGTTTTACTAGGATCATCCGAGACCTGAGTCAAAATTTTCTTTTTTATATCCTCCGAAACATCACCTGTGACATTATCTAGCGCAGAGACATGACACTTTTTCTCAGAAGAAGCATTTCTATAAGCTTCCATATTGTGGATGTTAACTTCTGCATTTGTAGTAAATAAATGGGGTAAGTTATCAAACTCAGACGTTTGCCCATTCTCCATACATATTTGTCTTTTCTGTATTACTTTCATGTCATTTTCTGTGTGGATACCTTCACGCAATCTGTTTAATATGTCAGCAAAATCTCGATCTCCTTTTTGTCGCATTATTTCTGTTAATTCAAACATTCTGAACAAATCCCACCACAGATTTTGTGCAAGAGGACCATAACCTTCAAGTAAATCCTCAAAGATCCAACCATCAAAGACAGGTTTTAACTGATATAGATCACCAATGGCGATGATACTAATTCCACCAAAGGGCTGGTTGTTTGAAAAAATTTCTTGAAGGCGCATATTGATGAAATTGAACATTTTATTTCCAACCATTGATATTTCATCTATAAACAGCACTTTCAGGCTACGGAATTTGACTCTCATATTGTCCAACTGCTGTACATCTAAGGGCGTATATCTCAAATTCTGGTTTGCAGGGATGCAGAATAATGAGTGGATTGTTTGGCCATTGATATTGAATGCAGCTTTACCTGTTGGAGCACACAAAACAGCTTTGATTTCATCTGGTTTATCTGCTAATTGCTTAGAAAAATATCTGACAATACTTTGGTAGAGGCAAGTTGTTAACACACTCTTTCCCACTCCTGCTCCTCCTGATAAAAAACAATACATTGGAAGTTTGTCAGTCTTAATACTGTGCAATATGTGATAAAAGAACTGTTTTTGTTTCACATTTAGTTCTCTAGTAAGTTTCCTGTATTCATCATCGTTCATTGCATGGAATACCAGGTCATTAATTTCAACCTGCTTTCTTGTGATACCCAAATCTAAGCCCAAGTCATAGGAAACTCCAGCTATCTCTGGATTGAAACAACCATGTTCCAAACACATTTGTTGTTCTGAATTGGAATCAATTTCTTCCGTGTGCTGAACTTCTGAAATAACATTTGCACTCTCATTTGATAAATCCATTTCATTGTCTTCTGCAATATCAGCTACACCATTATCAAGGGCATATGCTTTCCTGTTTTTTGAAATTATGCTTTTCTCTTGCTCGAATTTGCTTTCATAACTGGAGTGCGATCCTAGCAAATCTTCCATTTCTTTTCGCCACGGTGTAAACAGCATTAACTGTTCTCTGTAATAATTTTCTGCGTCTTGATTTCTATTAAATCTCACATACCGAATGACTTTTTGGGTTCTCCTCTGCTTTAGTATTGAACCATCTCCCATGATGTACTCTTTTTCTAGTTCCATCACCTCTGAGTTTGAAGTCAGTTTTTCAACATTATCTTCATCCTCATTTGTCTCCTCTATTTCTTGTTCAGGTAAATACTCCATGTTGATGTTCTCTCTTTTTTCTTTTGGAGGCAAGACAATGTCAAACTTTGACACAAAATCTGCCAGACAACAGTTTTGGAGAGCTCTGGGTCTTCTTTGATAGCGTTTTATCCAATTGTCTGACTCAATATTTGTAGATTCTCCTGGCATGTCCTGCAAAACTTCCATTGGTTTCAATAAAAATGTCCTTTTTCCTGGTTCACTAGTATTTATGAAAACAACTGATCTACTACTTGATCTCATTGACATTTGCAGGAGAATATAAGCTGCCTCTTGAGCACTTATTTCAACATGTGTTAGAAACTTATTCCCAATTTGTCTAACTTGTTGTTTCAGGGTAAGGTTTCCTTTCCTAGCTTCCTCACAGGCATCATGCAATAAATTTGACATCCCTCGCTGTGATTTTGAAATGTAAGAGACAATGTATGCAGCACAAGCATATCCATCCAGAATATATTGCACATCTAAATTGGCTTCCCATGCTTTCAACAATGTGTGATTGTAAGCATTTATTCTCATTTCAGACACTTTGCGTTCTAAGAAAACTTTTGGTGTCTTCAAGGATGATCGGATTGCCATTTCATACATTTCTTTTGTCATATTCATTTTTGATAGGAAATCTTCAAAATTCATGAACTCGCACCCAGATTGGTCTAATTTGATTTCATTGAGAACTTCACATATTTTGGCATAGTTTTTCTCGACATCTGGGTTTTTGTCCAATTCATTTTCCTCGAGTGGCTTAAGTATTGTTGTTTTTGGCATAGGAGGCAAGGGAAAATTAAATCTACATATATTTTTCCCTTTTTTCTTGCAAGTACGGGCATGGCGATGGGTTTGATAATTCACCAGATGTGATATCTGCTCATTCTTGGCACATGTGCTATGCTCATCAATGAATGTTGTGATGTCTTCAACAGAGTCAACCTCAAAAATTGGAGCATTTTCAACCCATATCAACATGTGTATGTGTGGTGAACCTCTCTGTTGAAATTCAACACGATAAAAGTAGTCCTTTATTTTTCCCAGTGGATGTGTTATACCTTTCAAGACATGCGATAGAAATATTTGAAATCTATGGTTGAAATACCTTGCACAAGTAACAGGATCTTTTCTGATTAAATCACACTTTTCCTCCCATGATAGGTTTCTTATTTCTTCATCTGTTAAATTTTTGTTAAATAGTGTCTTGTTTAAAATTTTCAGTACACTACTCCATTTTGTTTCTGCTGCTGAGAATGAGCAAAACCATGTTGGAATGCCTAACTGTCTTATCATTGCAAATACATCTCGCTTTGCATTCTCCCAATAAGCAGGTGATCCTCTCAATGTTCGAAGTACTCTGTAACCTTCATTTAATCTTACAAGCTGGTCAAAGGAAGAACTGTCTAATACTTGGCATACTGTAATTTTCTTTCCTTCTGTCTTGCATTTTCGCATGGCAAGGGCAACTTTATCTTGAATTTGCTTGATTTGCAGTCTTTTGAGCTTAAAAAATAAGCTTGGCATAGAGCAAGCTGCTCTCCTATCTTGTGATCTAAGTTCCCACTTACAAATTGTAGCATATGTTACTGGTGTATGTCTGTCTTTGTTGTCAGGTCGCTTCTGTCCGCAATATATAGTTGGAAAAGCAAGATATTCTGCATTGACATCTTCATAAAGTCCAAGTGGAGATTGATTTTCACCAGGTGCAAATGAGAAAACTTTGCTTAAAGACCTAACATCTGCAGGATGCAGCAATGTGTCAGTGTTTCCTGTCAATCTATTTTCAAAATTAACATCTTCAGTCCATCCATCTTCTTCTTCAAAAGAATTTGCATCTTCCAGAGAATTTGAATCTTTAGAACCTGAATTCAGCTCATGAGGATTTTCATCATTAAATCCATACCAGCTTGACTGCTCACAAGAGACATCCCAATTCTCATTAATGGTTATTTCTTCATTTTGAAACATATTGCTGTTTTGTAAGAGCCATTTCAAGGCATCAATACACTTTCTTGGTCGTATAGCTTCATACAATACATGGTGTTTGAAGCTTGTTTTCCTTTTGAGTTTCACTTGAATGGTTTCAGATTCTGAAAGCATTCTTGGTAAAGATTTAACAGTAGTATTTACATCTGATGGGACATTAACCACATTTCCTTTTAAACTGCGCTGTCCTCCTCTTGGTTTTTCCATTACTTGCATGAAAGGAATTCTTGGAGTGATAAGTCTCTCTTCCATCTCTGTAATATTCAATTCCGGTGGCTTTTCGGGAAATCTGAATCCATTTATGGCAGCACAAGTTGGCACTTTTTCATTTTTTATTGATCTATAACATGATGAACAAACCCACTCCATATTGCGTTCACTTATCAAAGTTTGTAAACACTGTTGTGCAAGTGGGAGAGAACGTATTGTGTCTGCTTTTTGAACATTCTCTCTAAACCATGTTTGTGTGCAGCAGGAACAAACATATACTGGTCCAACAGATACCATATCTTTGAATCTCTTTATTACATGGTCACTGTCATCACTCTCTTGCAATGAATCTTTAACTGAAATCACCTCATCAGGTGCATTAGGAATATTTTCAGGAATTGTTAGGTTTTGACTTGTTTCCGTTTCTTCAAATTGTTCTCTTCCAGATAGTACCTCTGGATGCAATATCGTGAAACTACATGTATTACTTCCTATCGTAGAAGTCTTAATGTCAGCACCAGGAACGGAAAACTCTTCAGTATTACATGGATAATGACTTGTTTCCATTTCTTCAAATTGTTCTCTTCCACATAATACCTCTGGGTGCGATATCGTGAAACTACATGTATTACTTCCTATCGTAGAAGTCTTAATGTCAGCACCAGGAACGGAAAACTCTTCAGTTTTACATGGATAATGACTTGTTTCCATTTCTTCAAATTGTTCTCTTCCACATAATACCTCTGGGTGCGATATCGTGAAACTACATGTATTACTTCCTATCGTAGAAGTCTTAATGTCAGCACGAGGAACGGAAAACTCTTCAGTATTACGGGGATAATATTGCTTTTGCTGGGAGCAAGCATTTTTTTCTTCACTACTCATGTATGAATATGTAGGATGTTTGCGTTTTCTTGCCTTATTTGTAATAACAGGTGTTTTCTCAATCAAAAATGAATCAGTCATACCACAAGTGGTCAATGACATTTTTGAGAATGAAATAAAATTTGGTCTGTGTGGTCTTTTTCGGCATTGCACTACAGAGTAGGAAGCAGCTTCAAACTGCACCGTTTGTAATGTATGTGAGGAGATTGACATACACAACTGCCGCAAGAAGTCGCATAAGACAACAAATGAACTAAATGTAGACATAACGCAATTTCCTTCTGGATCACATAAACCATTGTTACCCCTACAGTGTGAGTCATATACATAGTACCTATTGTTCATTCTGTCATAATAAATAGCTATTGCTGATGAATTGAAAATAAGAATGCATCCACACTGATTGGCAAATATCAAATTCAAACAATTTTCAAGACTAATCCCAATATCTGTTACAATATCAGAAGACATACAGCCAGCATACGATTTTTTGTGAACAACTGAGAAATACCTCTCTTCAAAATGGATATATCTTGGTAAGTCTGAGAATAGCAATAAGTCATTTGACTTTTGAATGGAATTATACAGAAAATCCCCAGCCATTAATAACTTGTGAAGATATACTTTATTCCATGATGAAACATCTCCAATACTTGCTAAGATCAGAAACATGAAGCAGTTGCACATGCACTGCTTACCTCTAGAATTTTCAGAGAAAATTGGGGAAGCTTGATTATAGTCTGCCTTAAGTACTGATTGTGGGATAATAGCTGGCAAGCGATCTCCTGAGGATGCCATGATTTCTGTTCGAAAGCAGACTTATCTTTGAATTAAGTTTGCTACTACTAAATTTTTACAATTTACTTTATTTGAATTTTTTAGGTGATATAAAATCCCTTATTTTCTTTAACTGTTCTATTTCATAGTAATTGTTCAAGGTCTAACTTATGGTAATATTCATACCGTGACCGTGGTAAAAGTCCTCATATATTTAATTAAATAAAATCTGAAGTCAGTATTCAAAGTTCTCATAAATTGTGTTCATACTACTAATAAGTTGTGTTCAAAATTCTAATAACAAGCTGTCATAATCAGTTCAACTCTCTTAGTTCTCATATATTTTGTTCAAAGTTCTAAGACATTGTGCTCAAAATTCTCAAAAATGTTCTCAAAAGTCTCCAAGTTCTCATAAATTGTGCTCAAAATTCTCATAAATGTTCTCAAAAGTCTCCAAGTTCTCATAAATTGTGTTCAAAGTTCTCATAAATTGTGCTCAAAATTCTCAAAAATGTTCTCAAAAGTTCTCATAAATCATGTACAAAGTTCTCATCAATCGTGCCCAAAGTTCTCGTAAATTGTGCTCAAAGTTCTCAAAAACTGTAAGAATCAATCCAAGTCTCCAAGTTCTCATAAAATGTGCTCCAAGTTAATATGAAGTATAAATTCAGTTCAAATCTCCAAGTTTTGTAATAAATTGTGCTCAAAAATTTTTATACAATGTGCTCCAAGTTCTAAATCTAGTTCAAGTCTCCAAATTTTGTAATAAATAATTCATATGTAGTGCTGAAAATTTTCATGAAATAATGTGCTCCAAATCCTTATTAAATTGTAAGATTTTGTTCAAGTTAAAGGCGCTGTACAAAATTCTCATATATAATACGATGAAATCTGAAACATTATTCAACGTTCTGATATAACTCTGTAAAATTCAAATGTACTCTTCGAAAATCTCTAAAATCATTGTGTTCAAAGTTTTAATAAATTTTAAGAATAAGTTCAAGTTAAAATATTGATAGTGCTATAATTCCAAATTTTCCTGTAATGTTGTACACATAAACAAAGTAAAACTCGTTAATTTCTTCTACACAGCAAATTTATTTATATACCTAAGCCTTTGGTTTTATTTCAAGTTACTTCTATTAATTTTATGAAAGCAATGCAGATATAGTTTAGGAGTTACTTAAATTTAGAGTGTGTTACCTTGTAAATGTCGAAGGAAAGGAATAGCTCTTTGTTGTACTTCACGTGGGTTTGTTGACAGATTTTCACGATTCGGTTGAACAAATACTGTAATAGATTTCAACAGATAATTGTTATTTATTAATCATGTGAACACAATTTCAACAAGACGCTAGCCATGAGATTAAAAGGAAAATGAAATAACCTAAACAATATTGGTCATTTTAAACAGCTCGTGCTTTAAACTATTCGATTCCATGTCGATATTATTTCGGAATCACAATGATCAACGATTGCTTAAAAGATTAGTCTATAATATATGCAAATATATTATATATGTATATATTCAAACAATAATTCCTCAAATAATTAGTCCTTCTGGCCAGACAAGAAATAATAAGTGCGATCAAGACAATGTTACGTATCAAGTTACGATGAGCATGCCTGCTGAGTGGGAAACATATTTCAAGGTTAAACGATAACAGATAAACTAATCTAACAACGTTTGTTACCTTGTGTATGTCGAAGAAAAGGCTTATCACTTCCAATTAGCTCTTTTGTTTCATTCCACGTGGGTTTGTTGACAAATTTTCACGCTTCGATTTTCAAGGGCTGTTTTCATCAATGGACGCAATCTTATCATGTTAGATTACTACGCAAAAGTGGTAAAAAGGTTCGTATTTAAATTAAAGACTAATAACTAATAAATAATTACCACTTTTTTTCTTAATTTAAAAGATTAAAAGTAAAAGGTAGTTCCACTAGACATTTATTCGTAAATTAGTTCTTACAAAATAAACATCAGCATGAACTATTTTGTCCCTCGTAATATTTCTCTAGATTGCATCAGGACCCCGTGATATTGAACCCCAGTTGTTTACTTTGTTTACCAACTGAGTTGTCGTTCGTTCTTCTCTCCATGCGTGAAACGTAAACAGTGGTATCCGATCTAGACTGTTATCCATCAATCATAGTAAATAATGTTGTAGTTCAGACAAGTCTTAGCATACACTTCAATTTTGATTAAACAAGATAACAATGGTAGATATTGGGGTTGTAAACTAAAGAGAAATAGTGCCGGTTATGTGCCCTTAGTTCGAGATTCATCCGTTTGGAGTACCATGAATCGGGGCAAAATATTGACATGACGTAGAGAGGTCAGAAAGGTCATCAAATCAAGGCAATTGTAATAGGCGCTTCCGCCTAAAAATGGCGACGCATTTGTCTCATGACACCGATGATTGTTCAGCTGTATGTGCTATATGTTTTGAGTTTTATCGTGACCCTGTCAGTCTTCCAGGGTGTTCCCATACGTTTTGTATGTCTTGTCTTTTATCTTATGCTGGATCGACGAAGAAAGTCGGCGAAAATGACACAAACATTTTAAATTGCCCAGTCTGCAGAAAATGTTTTCACACAGACAGCATTGACTCTTGGATCAAAACTTTACGAAGCAGCGACATGCATTGTGATTCCTGTGAAAGACAATGTACTTCGTGCACAGCAGTGTGGTTTTGCCAAGACTGTTCTGATAACCTTTGTGATCAGTGCTTTAAATTTCATAAATCTAATAGATCGTCAATGGGACATGTTACCCGTAAACTCGAAGACAACAGGGAAAGTGTATATGTTGCGAATTTATTCTGTAATAAACACATTGACAGGAGGTTGGATGTATATTGCTTTGATCATGATATCCCTTGTTGCTCGATGTGTGCTACATTCAATCACCGAAAATGTGAGCATATTTCACCTTTGAATGAATGCTCAAAGGCAGTAGAAAAAACAGATGAGAAATCAAGTTTCAAAACGATGACTGAAATTACACAAAACAAACTGAAAAAGGCTTTGAAGACATTTGAAGAATGTAAAACAACCTGTAAAGAAAAAGCCGAAAAGCTTCAAGCTCAGGTGAACTTTTTGACTGAAAACATCATTCGGCGACTGCAAGAAGACAAATCAGGGATAATCATCGACCTTTCCGCAATTGAAAAGGAATATCTTATCAATATCGAGTTAAAGTCTGCACCACTAGAAAAAGCATGCGAGATTTTGACAAAGAGCGAACAATTATTAAACCCCGCAAACAAAATCGATGATATTACAATGTTTCTTGAAATAAAACGCATGCAACGGGAGCTTAATCCTATTCAGAAAATCCTTCAAAATTTGGAAATCTTAACCGATGCGTTTGAACCTAAAATGGCAATAAATAGATATTTTGATGAGTATTTGTCTGGTTGTTTCAATGTGGCAGAAGTTTATGACAATGTTGAAAGATGTAAAACTTATTCAAGTAAAATGTCTTTGTTTGGTATTGCACTAGCAGCAACAATAAGAGGATATAAGACCAATTGTAGATTTACTGATGCAGAGTTTGTTGCTAAAGAAAGCATTATTGCAGTCTGTGGAACAACAAATGCTGCATACCTTTATACATTGGATGGATCCCTCATTAAGCAACACAAGCTATCTGGTAGTCCATGGGCCATAGCAAAAATTGCAGCAAACCAGTTTGCAATATCCATTAAGTCCCCTCCAGCTGTAGAAATATTATATATAAAAGAAACGTTTGTCCGGACTGACAATGTCATCAAACTACCTTGGATACCGTTTGGAATAACTACGAAGGGTCCAAATGTACTCATCGTTACCTCTGGAAAGAGAATCGTTTACATTGCCAGAGATGGGACTGTTATAACATCACATCATACCGGAGCGGAACGTCCATATGGCCTTTGTGTCAATCCTGAAGGACAGATAATTATGACTGATTACGACGGTGCTCAAGATGTTACATTCTTTAAAAGTATAGAACTTGAAGAAGTAAAGAATTTCAAGCATCCAATGTTGAAGAGTCCATCTGGTGTAGCTTGTGATATTTTCGGCAATGTGTATGTGTCTGGATTCAATTCTCACAACGTTTTCCAGCTTAATAAAAATGGAAGCATTGTCAGGGTTCTATTGGAAAATAAAGAAAAATTGAAGATGAAGAATCCGATTGGTTTACGAGTCGAGTTTGTCAAGAGCTCTTTAAAAATGCTTCTTACATCCCTTGATAGTGTCTTAATTTTCAATTTTCATGAAGGAAATTGATTTTGTAAAAAAAAGTGCATGCATTAATTATTTGTATTTGTGTTACGGTTTATTTATTGATAAAGAACTTGAAATCATTGATTGTTTCGTTCTTTACCAATGCTCTTTGGTTATATCCATCAGATGTGGGTGCTTATAACTTTTTAGTTACAATCACATTTAATCAACACTGATATTTATTTTTTTTTTGTTATTTCTTAATTTTATACATTACAATTTTAGTTTCTACTGGGTCATATCTATGAAACACCGCGTAAAGACCATCGTTGTCTATACTGAATGTAATCATGAATATAGATTAAAACGTAATTATACCACATTTTCTTCTTTTTTATAATAGCAGCTTAAGTATTTTATTAATTAATGCCCCTTACAATTGTGTATGGCGATATTTGATTTCATTATTTAGATATTCAAAGTTTTTAAAAATCCAATACAATTTCAAGATAAGTTTCAAAGTTGAAGAGAGAATTGAGACGATTAAGAGTTTATACAACATTCGTTAAAATCAATGTCGAAGAAATCAATTCCAACTTTATTCCACTACAATGCAATTTCCCAAACGTCAAAAAAGTTTGTTGGTAAATTGATGACAGCTCATCCATTAACTTTTATTTTCCTATTTACAGCTGGTAATATTTAGCACACGGGATATTCAGTTGGCTAAAAGCTCCTTGCGCCCCCGACAGTCGATCGCTTACTAGTATCTTCACTTTTAAATTCTCTTATTGAAAAATTTCAGAGTTAGGAAAAAATATTCCAGATAATTTTACAATAAACAAAAAAAACAATGCATAATAAACAGTGTTACCTATGCAAACGATTTTCTAAAACGTACAAACTGTTTTAAGAATCATACGTATGAAAAAAGATTTCTTTTAAAAAAAAAAAAAGATCTTCAAACGACTGTTCTTCGTGCAAACGTTCCTTTGTCTTTTTCGTGGAATTGATAATGGATAAGAAATCATTCACAGTTTAAACTTTATTTCATTTAAATTAGACATCACATATAAACAGTAGATAATACATACAGTATTCGTAAACAAGTTGTAACAACTTATATTTATCCGTTTCCTTAAATTATCTTTCAACTATAAATATTTACATTCAGTGTAATTTTCCTTATGAAATCCATTAGAAATCCACGACGTTCAAATTTCTATAACACACACGAAACCTTGTCACCGCGCGTTAGAATACACAGTAGGAACTATCATACCGCTCTAACGCGCGGTTTCCAATTTGTCGGCACGGCCAGGTGTATTATAGGACCGAAGACATCCCAAAATATGAATTCAATGCTTAAATATTTACATTCCGTGTATTTTTTCCTTATGAAATTCATTAGAAATCCACGACATTCAAATTTCTATATCACACGCAAAACCTTGTCACCGCGCGTTAGAATACACAGTAGGAACTATATGCATTTTTTATAATCTAGGAACATCAAAATGTACAATGTGTTGACTCAATTTAATGAAAAACTATCATCCTGTTAGCCCGCTATAATCGTTTTGTTAAATGTTTAGATCGATATTTTTTCACAAAAAGAGCTCCCGTATATTTTCCTGGTGTAAAAATAAGCCGTCGATTGTAAAAGTAAGCGCTTCTCGCAAAAGTCCAATAATGACACGAATACGTTTTCGTATCGGTTGTCAGTCTGCTTTCAATTTAAAATACATGTATTTTAGGAAAAGCTGCAATGGCCACGGCATCACCAACAGGTTCTAGTCCCTCCGGTTATTCAGCAGTTTGTCCAGTATGTTTTCAGAAGTTCAACAAGCCAAGGATGTTGCCTTGTTTTCACACTTTTTGCCATAATTGCCGGGACGGACTCATCAAATCGTCCTGCAGTAGTGCGACCTCCCTAGGATTTACATGTCCTCTGTGTCGAGAGTTCATAGCAGCTCCAGGATTAGTGGGCCATTGGCCTTCCGATAAATGGGCGTCGCTTTTCCCGTTAAACCAATTTATTGAATATTTGATTGAAAAGGGCTCAGGGGTGTCTTCCACTAATTGTGATGCATGTGCTGAAGACGGAGAAGACGTGAAAGGAATTAACTGGTGTAAAGACTGCCGGCGTTCTTTCTGTGAAAACTGTACAAAAATACACAAAAGGTTTCTCGCTTTATATAACCATAAAACAGTGGCTCTCTGTGAGATATCAAGTGCCACTAAACCGATAGAATTTGTTTCCAGGTTTTGTAGAAAACATGAACAGAATAAGCTGGAACTTTATTGCAGGGATCACCAAGTACCGTCTTGTGCCTTATGCGTTCCGAAGTTACATAGAACTTGTGACCACATAAGTTCAATGCACGAAGAAGCTATTTAACCTGACAAAACTAATATTCTTGCCAAAGGACTTGTCAAAGAAATGCAGGCCTTTTGTAATTTCGTTGAAAAACTTGTCGAGGAGAAATTAAACATTACTGGAATTGATGAAAAAACTGATATGTATATTGATATGGTCAAGAGTGCTTGCGAGAGGTTAGTGAAACAGTTTAAAAATTTAGAGGAAAAGCAGTTGAATGAAATAACCCAATTCTCAAAAGAGAGCAAGGCTAAGCTAGAGGCTTCCATCCAGGATCACGAAAATCGGAAGACATACGTTCAACACTGTCTGAAGCTCATGACTGAAACTTTAGAGAATGGAGATAATTCTGATGTCCTACTCCAGTATTCTGTAATGAGAGAGAAACTTGGAGAAATAAGAAAACTTGAGCTTCAAACTGTGAAAAAAGATTTAACGGCGACACCCATTGATGAAACTGTCAATTTAAAAGGGTTTTTAAACCTAAAAATGGCTAAAAAAAAGCATCAACATTCCAGAAACTATAGATGTGGCTCGATGTTAACTACACGTTAATAATCACTTCACAGTGTCGGATTCAGATATCAGAGGAGTTGCTTTTTTATCCGATGGCCGCTTACTCCTCATTGATTATAACCACAGTCGCTGCTTAGTATACACGGAAAAGGGTTTAATGGAACTAGAAGCCAAGTTTTCAGGTGAAGTGTGGGACGCGTATGTAGATTCTGATCTTCTTTATATCACATTTCCTGGTACCAAGGAGGTCAAAATGGTAAAACTGGAAGATTTATCTGTAATAAAGTCTTTCCGGGTGAACTGCTCGTGCAGAGGAATAACAAAAGTCGAGGATAAAGTAGTATTGGCGGGAAAAACAATAATCGAGACCTGTAATGGCGATTTTGTACATCTTGATCAAGCTGAAGTAGATGAGGATACTGATGATGTCGCTGCAGATTCAGGCGGAAACATACTTTATTCAAATTATCACACAAATGCAGTTTACAAGAAAAGAAACATGACAAGTACCATTTCTTATATATTTATGAACACTCTTTATTACGTGCACCCTTTGGTTTGGCTGTCGATCACATGGGAATCGCCTACGCGTGTGGATTTGAGAGCAACAACATTCATGTTGTATCCTCAGATGGAAAAACCTTGAAGATTTTAGATAAATTCACTAATCCTAAATGTGTAAAAATTCAAAATAACAGTGTCAAGTTTTTTGTTGTTGGAGAAGAGTCAAAAGTGAAGATTTGTGAATTGAGAGAAGGTTAAGAAAATCTTACTTTAAAATAATATTTTGAATTCTCTTGCATCATTTGTATAATAATGTGAAATATGCAATTCGAATAGTCTGCAACTATCTTGGATAAACCATTAATTAATAATGGTTAATAATGAAAATCTTTCAACTTACCTCACTTATGCCACTAAGGTGATCTTTTGCTCTCTGTTTTTGTCTATCATTTTTGTCAGCCTTAAACAGCGTCAACAAATTCTGGCATAAACCACCTATTCGAAAACGGAAGAACAATTTTTAATTCCAAGGTCCCATCCCGAGAGGCCCAATGGGTGCTTAATCCATCACAAGTAGTGCATTTGAAATCTTTGTACTATTTTTCATTGAATATTCAAATTGTAGACATACCAGTAATAATAATAAGTATTGAACACTCCAACTCTACCAAAATTGTAAAAGAATGGGTGGACTTAATTAGCCAGAAAAAAATGCCGTAAATTTAAGTTCCATAAAATGTTAATTTTTTTCAATCATATAAACCCCCGATATCTTAACTGTGTATTTATGGTACGGATGTGAATTTAAAATGCTCTTTTCGAGGTAAACTAAATAAATATCGAAGGCATGGTGCCTAAAGATTTCTTGAATATCAATAGATAATCAGGGTCACGCATTTTTTATCGTCTGAATACATAGTCAGCGCATGTTTGTCGGCTGTTCTTACGAAAACTGTAGTTGTATATTGAACAAAATAATGTCATATTAAAAGGAGAAGAGCCGACAAACGTGCGCTCACACTTAGTTTAACAAAAAATGTTCAAAACAAACTTCTCGTTTCCATTGTTACGACTTCGATTGACCTGTTAAATATTACAATTCATCACGTGATGTCCACCTGCAAGTGTACTCGTGGAAACAGTTACATTGTATTCTTTAATCTGACCTCGATCTAAATCACTATGTTTGGTTGTCGTTTTCAGAATATAGCACATTAAATTTTGTTTTAATTTTGCGTGTCCTCACATTTAGAAAAAATCATAATGACTTCGCTTTAATATGCCAAACACGTATTCGAATTTCTAGAGAGAGAGAGATGGAGAGAGAGAAATGTCAACAATGACACCGATCGATAGCTCCGCCTCCTATCAATATTGATAGCGTGGCCTAAAAACCACTTCGGGTACATGTCAAATTCCGGAAGACGACACTAATGTATCGTTGCTTCAATTTTATTTCATGGCAACAAGGTATTGCTTTTGTACATATGTTCTAACTAAAATGACCATGTACATGTTTACGTTGCTCTAGCTATTGCTTGTAATATATTTTGGATTCACTTTATTTTCAACTTGTTAGAGTAGTCGCAAAAAGATCCAAAATAGGACGTTAAGTCCACCCATTCTTTAAGACCCCTGAGTCAGGGTTCTGGCTCCAAGTCATAACACTTAGACGAGCTCGAGCTCACTTTTGATTTCAGTCTCACTTTTAAAATAGAATGGTAGAATATATAGTGAAAAAGTGAGGCTAAGATCAAAAGTGATCTCTTTTACGTTTGTTACGGAGACGTTTGGTAAGACTATGCTCCACTGATTGATTTTTTTTTTTTGTTTCAAGTTCAATAGTTCAAGAATTTTTTCCCTCACATGGGCGTGGCGCAGTTGTTAAAGCGTTTCTAGAGTTGCGTAGTATGGAGTTGATCCTGAGATATACGTGAAGATCGGTCCTCCGGATGAGACCACATGAACTAAGGGCCCCTATTGCAGTATAGCTGTAAATACAGTCCTCCATCGGCATTTGTTGTGGCGTCTTCATACGAGCGAAAAAGTCTCGAGAGGAACATAATCAATAGAGCTCCATCCTAAAAAAAAACTGTATAAGGGCCTTGTCTTGTCTCCTGAATTGTACAATTCTCTGTTATCCTTGGACTTTCAGTAAGGCGTGGATTTCTCGACGTTTAATAATTAGCATCTTTAATTTACAGAACCTTTTATTCGCTGTTGAAGGATACATGGGATAGAAATTCGGGCAAAGGTTAACGAGTGTAGCAAGGATCCAATGATAACATTTTGTACGGCAAAGAGGCGGGCCTTAAGTCGTCTCGTCGTTGTCAAAAACAATATAAAGTTTCTGATGACAATTTATGTCGCCATTGAGAGACTCTAATTACGCTAGCGTCGAGAATACCAGGTCTTACTGAAAGTCCAAGGATGACAGAGAATTGTACTAGCGCATCCTCTTTATACAGTCCACACTTCGCTGACTGTTGCCAAAAGGTCTCTTTTTCCTGCGAACACGACAGACACGTATCCTTTCGATCTATAAACCTGTAAACACTGTAAGTACAATCTGATATGGAACAATTGTTATCTGTTTAGGAACATATACTTTTTTATATAAATTTTACCCTTTAATATTATTTTTAAAATTACATATTTAAAGAAGAGATTCTTTTAATCTAACCATACATACCAATGTTTATTAACCATGATATGGAATTAGAAGTGATTTATGGTGTTTTGCAATGATAAGAAATTAAAATCTTTATTCACTATGCAATGTAAAATTATCGAAGTAAATAGAAGAAACTAAAGTGCCTTATATGTATACTTTAAAAAGTATGCAATTGTTTCAAAGCCTGTATACACTATGTTTTTTTTATTTATAAAATGATTTGTTATCAATTTTGAATCGGTCGTAAAGGCATAGTATAGGTTTTCTTTTTCGAATTTTTATGAAAAATTATTTAAAATTTACTTTTCCCTAACTAACACGATTAATATTAAAGATAAAATTTTAAGAATTATGGTGAGTAAAAATACATTACAACAGATTTATTCAACATTGGCTTGACAAGATGCAGAGTCTCGTACTTTCTGAGTTTTTCTACCTTCTTGCCAATCTTGGCCTCCGTACAAAATGTATAAGTGGCATGGCTACCTGTGTCCCGCCTACAAATGACTTGATAGTTTGTCCCATTTGATTTGATGTTTTTCGGGATCCAAAATCACTACCTCAATGCTTACATACATTTTGTAAGTCCTGTATCTGTTCATATGCATCGACAACCTTGAACAAGACTCTAGGAAAGATTGACTTTATTTGTCCCGTTTGCCGGAAGTGTTACGACAACGTGGATAACATTGATGCATGGTTAGAAAACTTACCAAATAACCATTTAGTTGTCACTTTGATAAACCAAGAGAAAATGGAAAGTAAAGAGGTGTTGTGTGCCTATTGCAAAAGGCAAGAAAAAACCGAATCAGCAATATACTGGTGCGCGGAGTGCTCTGACAACTTGTGTGAAAAGTGTGTCAAGTTTCATGAGGTCAACAGACTAACTATGGAACACAAGGTGTGTAGTATTGAGGCCCAAAATCATTCTGATTCATTCAGTTCTGTGTTATTTTGTAAGCAACACAGCAGCAGGAAACTGGAAGTTTACTGCTTTGATCACGAGGAACCTTGTTGTCTGATGTGCGCCACTGTATCACACAGAAAGTGTGAAAAGGTCAGCAGTTTGGACGAATGTTCCTTAGATTCTGATGAAAAGGTAGAAAGACTGAAAACAGAATTCGGCGAACTTAAAATAAAATGCGAATCAGAGGTAGCCCGCGTAGAAGGCGACAAGGAGAATTTCAAGAAAGAATCCAAAATCATAGAGGCCAGAGTTAAAGGTTTGACTGAAGAGATAATACAGACATTGAGAGACAAAGAAAAGGATGCCCTTAATAACCTGGCAAAAACTGAGAAGGAACAGACACTGGTATTACAGACAAAGCTTGAAGGGTTACAGACTGTTCAAGAGAAGCTGGAACGAAGTATTAAACTGCTTCAACATTCTGAAAGATTCAGCAAGATTGCACTATTTTTGGAGATCAAAAAGATGGAAAAAGATATATCGGATATCGATTTACAAATCAAAGTCCTAGTAAAAAGTTACAATACACCAGTTTTAAACTTGAGTGTTAATGAGTTTGAACATAATTTTCAGTCATCATTAAATTCACTTTGTGAAATGACGGTTAAATTGAAGACCATTCGCGTTGACTATCGTTCTGCAAAACTTATGTTAGAAAAATCACTGAATGTTCAAGGAAGCTCTTGTCTAACGGATATTGAGATTATTAATGGTACTCATTTGATAACAGCATGTCAGACGCAGAAGATGGTATATTTCTTGGATGCGCGTGGTGCATTGTTGGCATCAACTCAACTTCCTGGCACTCCCTGGGGTATAGCAGCTCTCCGAAATCATCAATTTCAATTCTGTGTCGCAATGCGAGACCCCAATCTCATTGGTATATTCAAAGTAAATATTACAGATGGTTGCATTGTACGTTGCAAAGAATTAAAACTGTCCCATAATGCATGGGGTATTTGTACAGTTAATAATAAAATTATTGTTTCCTTAGTGGAAAGGCAAACTACACAATTATTTAAAGTCTATGATGAAGAAGGAAATTACATCGTAGAACACCACTCGTATGGTTATTCAAGATGTAACGGAACCCATGCGATTTCAGACAGATATTTACTATACACCATTCACTCTGACAACTCTGTTTATTCAACAGACCTAAGTAGTACTGAAGCTTCAACGAAATTATATCAATCTTCAGAGATGAGTCATCCAATAGGTATTACAAGTGATCCCGAGGGAAATTTGTACGTTGCATGTTATGGGTCTCATAACGTCTTTCAGCTGGATCCTCACGGAAAATTCATCAGAAAGATTATTCAAGACGACTCAGCCGTCCAAGGTCCATACGGCATCCGTGTGACAATTTTTGATGGTGGATTCAAACTGTTGTTGACTTCTTTGGGAAAGATTCTGATCTATAACTTCAGTGAACTATGATTCAAATTAAACTTTAAAAGTTTTTCTGTTCGATTATTATTAATTTCAGTTAAGTGTGAAGTTCTACATTGCGTCACGATCTTTTTCGACAGATGCATCCAGCGTAAACAATTCACGTGGTTGATCAACTCATATCGTCAACATTGACACGGAAATAGTCTGTTGCACGAGCAACCAATCAGGGATTACAAGAAAGTTCTAGTTGTAAAGCTTGCGGCTAGGAGGCGTGTACTGTTTACCTTGAGCGCAGCTGTCATCATAGGTTGTGACAGTATGCAAAACTACACACTTAAGTGAAACTGATAAGTAATTGGTAAATGCATGTACCATATGTGCAAAAAACATATGAATGACCAAAATGATACTGGAAAAAAATTAAAGAGCTAGGTTCACTTTATGCATAAAATGACCCTGTACTTATATCAATTATTTTTAAAACTAATCACCCTCTTTCCCATTTCATATATCAAAAAAGTATACACTTTGTGCATCTATTTCCTATAATAAAATATCTTTTTGAGAATCCAGATATTGGAAAACAGACTTTGAGAAATTGCAATATTCTTGACATTTGCAGTATATTTAAATATATTCAGCAAAGAATTAAAATATGAGCACAACCCACGATTCAAAAAATAAAACATGTTTTTAGATCCTCAGATACAGAATCATTATTTGCATAGTTTGGATCAGAGGTTGTGCTGTATGAAATATTGAAAAAATACTTCAACTTTAGGCCATTTTCAAAGCAATCTGATTAAAATCACATCCTTTGATCCGCTCACATAGATCGCTACATAGAGATTTGAAGAAACCAATTCAGCGTCATCTTCTAACTTCTGGTTACCTCTAAATTATCAATATACGATACATGTATATACAGTGGAGCCTCATTTATCCAGACGCTTTGGTTCCGAGTCAATTTGTCCGGATATGTGAAGCGTCCGGATACCTTGATCACCAGTTAAACAAGACAAAATTACATTTACAAATTTTGTTCCGATTAAAAGTTGTCCGGATACTGAAGCATCCGGATATCTGGGGTTCGGATATCTGAAGGTCCACTGTATATATATTGGCTGTAGATCACATGATCAACGCATACGTGTGTGGAAATAAAAGCAAAAACATTCATGTTGATCGACAGACGGAAAAACCGTGTAAAATTTAAGAACCCTGAGTCAGGATTCTGGCTTCAGGGCCATAACACTTAGACCAGCTCGCTTTTGATCTCAATTTCACTTTTACAAAAAAACTACGCTAGAATATATAGTGGAAAAGTGAGGCTGAGAACAAAAGGGATCTCATTTAAGTTTTATGGTCCCGGAGACGTTTGTTAAGGCTATGCTCCAATGATTGATTTTTAGCCGGGCTTATTGCTCAAAGAGCAATTGCCGGCTTATTTGATCCTGTTCAAGGCAGGATGTTGACCCCATAGTCGCCATTTTAAAGTTACGTGCAAAAATATAGTTCTAACTCTCAACCGCTTTTGAGATAATACAAACGCTAAATAAAGCAACAAAAATAAAACGAAGTTTTATCTATATAAAATAAACATTAGTAGTAATGACTTTGAAAACTTCGTAAGTCAAAGAACATAGTTCATTAGCGTAAGGATTTTTGATAATCAGTGTTACCGTAGTTCTCTTCACATACGAGGTAAAGCAGGAGAGGGAACCAGACTGGCCTGTTTGATTACATTTAGCTGCGGTACCAGATTAATTATGATTCTGATAAAATCGGACCGTGGTATTAGGATTGAAAAACTCACTGTCAGTGTCTTATCATTTATATTAATAGTTTTAAAATAATTTTTCCATCAGAATATAAACGTGATTCATGTAAGAAATCCATTTTACTCTGTAAATGAGCCCGGCTCTCTGTACTTCTGAGTACTTTGATTTTGTTTCAAGTTCAATACGTTCAAGAATTTTTCCCTCGTATAGGCGTGGCGCAGTAGTTAAAGCTTTATAGTAGCGGAGTATGGATTGATCCTGAGGTTTCGATTTCAACTGCGGGTTGTACGCGGAGATCGGTCCTTCGGATGAGACCACATGCACTGAGAGCCCCTATTGCAGTATAGCTGAAATTGCAGTCCTTCATCGGCAATTGTTGTGGCGTCTTCATACGAGTGAAAAATTCTCTAGAGGAACATTATCAAAAGAGCTCCATCCTTAAAAAAAGCTGAATACGGGTCTTGTTTTGTCTCTTCTGTCCTATTTCTGGAAAAGACACTACCGGTATTGCCCAAAAAATCAATGCACTAATTCCTCAGACATAATCGAGTTTAACCGATGATACATATGGCATATGCAATTTAGTGATTTTACAAATGACACATATTTAGACATACATACATGTATGTATATACTCATGGTCAGGACAATGTACTAGTCTTGTTATCAACTCGCAATGGATTTCAAGGGGGCATATAGAAACGCGCTTGTGTGTATTTGTTACTCTTATGCGAAAAAAGTGACATTATAAAATTGGCATCGGAATCAATGTCGAATGCAGCTTGGATTCATAGATAATTTTAGTACAATTTTCTGTTATCCTTGGATTTTCAGTAATGTGTGGCATTCTCGACATTTAATATAATTAGCATCTTAAATTTACACAACCTTTCATTTGCTGTTGAAGGATACATGAGATAGAAATTCGGACAAAGTTAACGAGTGTAGGAAGGAGCCAATGATAACATTTTGTACGGCAAAGAGGCGGGCCTTAAGCCGTCTCATCGCTGTCAACAACAATTTAAAGTTTCTGATGTTATTTATTTCCTAACAAATGACAATCTATATATGTCTCCATTGAGAGACGCTAATTACGCTAGCGTCGAGAATGCCCTACTGAAAGTCCAAGGATGACAGAAAATTGTACTAGTGCACCCTCTCTATACAGTCCACACTTAGCTGACGGTAGCAAAAAGGTTTCTTTTTCCTTCGACCACGACAGACACGTATAAATGTATTTCCTTTCGGTCTTTAAACCATAAACACTGTAAGTACAATTTGATATAGAATCATTATTTTCTGTTTCTAAAGGCACATTTACTTTATTTTAATAACTTTTACCCCTTTAAAATTATTTTAAAATTACATATTTAAAGAAATATCTAGAGATTTTTGTAAGCTATTTATTTAACCATAAATACCATTGTTTATTTATGTGGTAGAAGGTTACTAGTATTTACATTAAGAAGTTCTACTTGTGGTAAATATACTTAGCTGTAGTGCGATATTTACATGTAGAATTGATCTCTGCGTACGCATGTTCTGAACCAGACTACTATTCCACTTATTATTGTAATAAACATCAACTAAACCAAGGACTGGTGTCGTTGTTATTCCAAGAACCCTATTACATTAACGTGATATGGAATTAGAAGTGATTTATGGAGTTTTGCAATGATAAGAAATTAAAATCTTTATTCACTATGCATTGTAAAATGATCGAAGTAAATAGAAGAAACTAAAGTACCTTATATGTATTAAAAAGTATGCATTTTTTTCAAAAGCCTGGAAACTATGATTTTTATTTCGAAAATGTTTTGTTATCAATTTCAAATTGGTAAATGCATAGTATATGTGTTCTTTTTTGCGTTTTTTGAAAATTTATTTAAAATTTACTTTTCCTTATGTAACACGATTAACTTTAAAGATACAATTTGAAGAATTGTCGTGAGTAAAATTACAATTATTTTTTTTGAGTATCCAGAGTTATTTTTGTGAGCATTTTCAATATTAGACAATGTCATTTTCAGAACCAGAGGATCGGAGAGTATAGTACGTATTAGACTTCACTTGCGATATTATTTTAAAGGGAACAAAAAATGTTTTAAAACGTTTTGATAAGACCTTTAAAATCGATTCATTCAACATTGGCTTGACAAGATACAGAGGAGCTAGAATGAATCTTTAACTGAAATTGTACTAATTGAGTTTTTCTACCTTCTTGCCAATTGTGGCCTCCGTACAAAATGTATAAGTGGCATGGCTACCTGTGTCCCGCCTACAAATGACTTGATTCTTTGTCCCATTTGTTTTGATGTTTTTTGGGATCCAAAAACACTACCTCAGTGCTTGCATACATTTTGTAAGTCTTGTATCTGTTCATATGCATCGACAACCTTGCACAAGATTCTTGGAAAGACTAACTTTATTTGTCCCGTTTGCCGGAAGTGCTACGACAACGTGGATAACATTGACGCATGGTTAGAGAACTTACCAAATAAACATTTAATTGTCACTTTGATTAATCAAGAAAAAATGGAAAGTAAAGAGACTTTGTGTGCTTATTGCCAAAGGCAACAAAAAACCGAATCTGCGATATACTGGTGCGCAGAGTGCTCTGACAACCTTTGTGAAAAGTGTGCCAAGTTTCACGAGGTCAACAGACTAACTATGGAACACAAGGTGTGTAGTATTGAGGCCCAAAATCAGACTGATTCATTCAGTTCTGTGTTATTTTGTAAGCAACACAGCAGTAGGAAACTAGAAGTTTACTGTTTTGACCACGAGGAACCTGTTGTCTGATGTGCGCCACTGTATCACACAGGGAGTGTGAAAAGGTCAGTAGTTTGGTCGAATGTTCCTTAGATTCCGCTGAAAAGGTACAAAGACTGAGATCAGAATTTGGCGAACTTAAAAAAAGATGCGAATCAGAGGTAGCCCGCGTAGAATGTGACAAAGAGAATTTCAATAAAAAATCTCAAACCATAGAGGCCAGAGTTAAAGGTTTGACCGAAGAAATAATACAAACCTTGAGAGACAAAGAAAAGGATGTCCTTAATAGTCTGGCAAAAACTGAGAAGGAACAGACACTGGTTTTACATACAAAAGTTGAAGAATTACAGACTGTTCAAGAAAAGCTGGAACGAGGTATTCAACTGCTTCAACATTCTGAAAGATTCAGCAAGGTTGCGCTGTTTTTGAAGATCAAGAAGATGGAAAAAGATATATCGGACATCGATTTACTTATCAAAGAACTTGTGAAAA